GCTCAGGTGGGCATCCTGTGTACCCAGGGGAGCCAGCAGGAGCCACCGAACGCCCAGGCGCCTGGTGACACCACAGCCGAGGGCCTCTGTTCGCTTCGGGAAAGCCCCGGAAGGACTCGGGGGTCCGTGGCTCTTCCCCGCCTGTTTGCCACAGGCCCGACCGCGGCCGAGCTGGACGGAGGCCGCCCGCCCGCCGGGGCCGCCCTTCGAACTCACCTCCACGCGGCCGGCCCGCGTCGCCGTCCGCCGCCGTGCGGGCTCGCGCCGTCCTGCCGCGGCCGCCGGGAACCGCCCCGAGGCGACCGCTCGGGAAGGGCTTCGCCGCTCAGCGACCACAGGACCAGCTCCACAGAGACACACGGAGCGGACGCAGCGATCCCCACTGAGCGACGCTCACGTAAACGACCAGGGGCCTCGGCGCTCGGCTGACGTCACTGCCGGGCGACGCAGCCCCCAGGTGTCCTCTGCGCCTGCGCGGCCGCTGCTCGGGCGTGTAGAGACTGAACGGGGCCGAGCAAGGCGGTTGCGGGGGGACTGCGTCTTTGCAGGACAGCACCCCGCTGCGGTGACCGTGTGGACCCTCGCGGTGTTATCTGAACGTGGAGGATAAATTCAAACAACCCAGCGAGCTTTCTGAAAATGATGTGGTTTAACTGATGGAAGGTCTGGTAGTGTGTTATGGACAAAGTCAGTGTAGCTAGGCAAGTGCGTTAAACTCAAAAACACAAGCCACGAGCTGCGGAAGCATAACTCACACAGTTGTTCACTGTGGACACTGCTGTCAAGATTGGTTCCCGCCCAAACTCTTGAAGCTCTTTATAAGAGTTTTTTTGTTTGTTTGTTTTGGTTTTTTATGTGATGGTGCACGCGTCAAACATCAAAGTGGAAATATTTTATGGTTATTGGAGATTATCCGGGGTAAACTGGGATATTGACTAGGTGTGGTTTCCTGTCATGTCCTCCACCTGCTATGAAAAGAAGCTGTGATGAAGGGTGAGAGGTACACTTTTTAATATTAAAATTCCTTTTAACATATAAGGCGGCAGCTTTTAAGCCAAGGCAGTAGGTTTTAAGCACACATTAAGAGTTGAACTCGTATTTTGAAATTATCTCTGAAATTACCATTTCTATTGTTAGTTGCTTGTTATGTGAATGTATATCCAGCAGCCATTATGTCATAAAGCAACAATAATACATAAAATCAAATTAGATATGCATCTTTTTTTCTTGAGCATCTATCTCAAACACATAACTTAATGAAATTTTGTCTCAATAATAAGTTCTAGGCAGATAGGGACGTACTTTTTTTTTTAATCTGCCATCACCAGGGTCTAATACATTGCCTAGCACGTAACAGCAGGTATGGTGTACGTGGCATGGCCACTTCCCAAGAGTTGTTTCTATGTAGCTGCCTTTGCCCACTATGAAAATAATGTGTGAGGATGGTTGGGATGTTATTTATTTCCCTCCTCCAGCAACACTTAATTAAGCCTACAGCCTGGGGAGAGCTACACTGACCTGCATGAGTCATGATTAATTTTCCGTTACAGCTGAGTATGATTCCATTGTGTATCTGCACCATGTTTGCGTCACTCAGCAATCACTGAAAGGGCATTTAGGTGGTCCCTGTTTGTTAGCTATTGTGCATAGAGCAGCAGTGAATTTGCTAAGCATCTGTAGAAGGTTGCCAAGTCCTTTGGGCGTATGTGGAGGAGTGGAGCTGGGTCATATAGCAGAATTACTTTGAGCTTCTTGAGCAATATTGGCCATGCATGCCTTCTCGTATATGGTCCCCAGTTGGTGGAACTATTTGGGAAGGATTAGGAGGTGTTACTTTACTGGAGAAGATGTGTCATTGGGGGGTGATCTTGGAGGTTCCAAAAGCACACACTATTCCCCTCTAGCTCTGTTTATTCACCAGATGTAAGCTCTGTGCCTCTGCTCCAGTGACATGCCTATCTGCCTGATGACATACTCTTAACCATGATGGTCATGGACTCACCCTCTATAAGCACCAGTAAACCCTTTCTCTATAAATTGCCCTGGGCTGTTGTAGGAGGGTTGTTGTTTTTTTTTTTTTTTCTCTCCTGCCCTGAAGCTCCCAAAATAACTACTCATGAGACCAATTAAATATTATACAAATACCTTATAGCTAGGCTCTTCTCTGACTAGTTCATAACTTAACCCATGATACTAATCTAAATTCTAAACCAGCAACATGGTTGGTTACCTGAGCTCAGTCACCATGTGTCCATTCTCTTCACATCTTGTGGGCTGAGTCCCACACCTGTCTCTATCCCAGAATCCCATCTGCCCTGCTGGATGTCCTACCTATTTCCTGCCTCAGCCATAGGCCATAGGTTTTTTTAATCACATCCATACAATACACGAGAGATTCCTTCTACAATGGGCCAAGGCATCTATCCTAGCACAGCAGTTCTGCTTTCTCCTCCACTGTACAGGTAGTTGATAATGTCACGGGAAACAAGTCCACTTGTTTTCTGCATTGTATCTTATAGAACAAAAGCCCGTGGAACTGAACCATGCATGACCATGCCTAGTGCAAAATGGAGGTAAATCCCTGTGGCCTGTCCCTGAAGAGCGTGTCTACTGCTTTTCAGCTCCCGTGTCTTCAGGTGTGTCCTTACTCTGAACTCAAGAAGGGTTTCTTTGCTTATGAGTAACACAAGAGAATTACTACCTTTATTAGAGGGTGGAGTAAACCATAATCGTGCATTGCACACTATTTCACAGTGTTCCAGCAGCCAACACTATTAACCATGTGCTAACATACCCTTTACTCATGATTTTCCCTTTCTATCTTTCTCATTTTACCATTCCTATTACCTACATGTCCCAAAATGTCCCCCTGTCCTGGAGTCTTTGTCCTTAGTTATACTTCCATAACAAAAAAAAAAAAAAAAAAAAAAAAAAAAAAAAAGACTGTGTATGACAGGTTAACTGGGAGTCTAAAATGTATAAGAATAAAAACATAGAAATGTGTTTTATTACTGGACACAGAAAATAAGGTGCTTTTCCAGGGTTTATGCTATGATAAAAGGTAACCCTTTTATGGAAATAGACATTTTTTATACCTTGGTACAATGCCAATTCTTTTATTAAGTAATGTACACATTATTACAGTTAGGAAATTGTTGATTGTCAAAATAACCCTGTATATAATATCTTAATTATACCTATTACAGAGGGGAGAATAATAGAAAAGACATTAGAACTGAGTTTCCCAGGACTAAAGTAGAAAAATATATGAACTTATATGTAAAGGGGGGGAGGGGAAGAATTCTGCAAAATTTTACAAGTTAAATGAAAAACAGTATAGTAATAAGCATCATAGCAAGATGTCCTCTTGACCATAATAAACATGGTACATGGTCAATGCATATGGATACCACATAATGAATGCACTTCAAGTTGAAGTTTGTTTACCTGTAACAACACAGTACACATACATAAATACATACACACATTTCCCCTGGAATGCAAAATCCAATACCTAGGGAGAAAAAATTTAGTGTACCATATGCAAAAGAGAATAAAATAGACATGGAGCCATCAGAATTAAGGAAACTCGGCACGTTTCACTTCTTCCGAGGCTGACCTAGAAAGGCCTGTCTGCTCAGCATTTTGTTGGAGGTTTGATCTATTCTAGGAAGTAAATGAATTCTTGTGAACCTAAAGTACAGCACTAAACCCAAGATTCTATTCTACCTGCTACTTTCTCTAAGAGGACAAAGCTTGGCTTTGTTTCTTCTTATCCTCTTGGCTCTCAAAAGGCCAGGCTACTCAACACTTTTTAAGAACAGTCTTAAAAGGGTGTGGTTACACATGCCCTTTCCCAAGCACTTAAGAGGCGGAGAGAGCAGGAGGATCTCTGTGAGTCTGAGGCCAGCCTAGTTTACAGTGAGTTCCAGGGCAGCCAGGATTACATAGTGAGACCCTATCTTTGACAGACAAACAAACAAAAAGATATTGAGAAATAATTTCCCCCATAAATATAGTGAGACCCTCTCCCAAAGAAAACCACTGCTGTAGGCAACTTTCAGCTTATCTCTTATCATGGATACACCCTTACGACCAAAGGCCCCTCACATGAAAACGAACTGAATTTTCATTATACGATTTCATTCTGAAATAATATGATTTCATTCTGAAATATAAGATTAAGAATATTTGAAAACTATATTCTAGATAAAACATGAACCAAACCTTTACTTTTACAGAGTTTTTATGCATTTTAAAACTTCCTTAAAATATTGCTTCACACGTACATATTTGCTGATGTAAAACTTTCATTGAATACCAAAATATTCAGTGTCTATCTTATTCGTTATTTTAATTTTAAATTCAGTTGTAAATGAGACACATGGGAAAGAAAAATGTAGAAATTTCTATGCTAACAAATAATTCTAACTTGGTGACAGTTTAAGGTCCTTCCAATCCTACATTTTATCCTATAATTTATCCTTCGAGATTTTCTTGCCAAATTTCAAACAAAAGCTAAATAATACAAAAATTAAATGATACTCTTAGTCCCCCCCACAAACTGAAAAAGTAACAGCAAAAAGGACACTTGGCATCTGTCACAAACATCCATACACACTTTGGCACAAAGGCTACACACCCATGACCTGCACCCCAGAAAGATCACTGAAAGATCCTTTCTCAGAAGAAAGTTTTGCACTAAGCCCCGAGTTACACCTCAGTGGAGAAAAATGCCTGGCTTTTCCTTAAAACATGGCTCTGGACGGCCACTGCTTACTGTTGCTGCGGCTCCATGCAAACTTGGAGCCCAGGTTCTCCTCTGACTTCTAAACACTACCACCTGAAAACGTGGGCAGGGTACAACTGGGCGTACTTTCAAAGTTTTTGTAATTTTCAACTCAATATTTACATCTAGATTTCTCCTATGAGAAAAAAAGTATAACAATCGTCCTTGAACCACGGGTAAAGTTTATGTAAATAAATTAAAGTGCAGAAAATGAAAACAATTGGTCACAAAGACCAGCATCATAATGTAGCTGGGCATATAAATACTGTCATTGTCATTGCCATACTGGACAACCACCTCTCCGTGTCTCAGGAACACACATACAAACACGTGTGGGTTATTACACATGGACATTGGTGCTTCCATTTCCACCTCCACCTTCCAGGCCATCTGCAGACTGGGAGGAAGGCGGCCGGGAACTCCTGGGGTGAGGCTGGCCGCTGAGTCCCACTTGTGTGCCCAGACCATGACCCGTCTGGGAGGCTGCATCATCCGATTCCCAGCGTTCCAACTCTTCCCGTACGAGGCGCTCCATCTGCTCCCTGTGGATCTCACTGTCACGACCCAGCCTCGCATCCTAACAAGGAAATTAAAGAAGTAGCGGAGACCAGGGCATTGGGGTCCATGTTACACATTCTACACAGAAA